TGGCATAAACTCTACTACCAAATTTAACCCTAAATAGTTCTAAATGTATCCAGATCATTCCTTTGGCCACTTAAGGAGCTAGAAAAGAACCCACTAGACAGTCTTAATAGTAGAAATGGTGTCAGGACTCTCTAAGAGGGACTCGTGAGATGCAAATTTAATGTACCTATTCTTTCACTGTCAAATGGCCCAAAATGCAATGCAGGAGTTATTCAGATAAAATAAATGCTTCAAAATCCAAGGCCCAGCTTCTGGCCAAAAGGAGTATAGGAGCCTGGTTTGAACGTGGCAAGTACACTAAATAAAAGTGACCAAAGCTCCCTACCAGTGCCCCACCACTCACAGGTCCCAGCTTCTGTTCTCAGAAGCACAGGACAACAGCTAAAGAGACTACAACTTGAACACTAGCTCACCATCTCCGACTTTCTCATCTCAGCCCCTTGCCCCCACCCAAACTTTCCTGTTTCCCTCCATTCGAGGCCTCCCCAGTCTTCTGCCCCAGGGCCTCTGAGATCTGCTCTTGAATCTCCTAACCGGGGTATCCATTGCCTAATACCCTTGTCCTTACCTCTCTAAGGGATGGAATTTAAGGTTTACATGTTAAACTCATTAGGAGAGTCAGCATCAATTTTAAGGAGCATTTAATTTAAAAGATCAGCTTCTACACAATGACATATGGGCTATTTCTTTTTGCTGGGATATGTGTTGGTGTCCAATACTGAATATTTTCTCTTTGTTTAAAATTCTAACATAGGCAGGCACAGTAGTGCATACCAGTAATTCTAGCTACTCAGGAGGCTGTGTCAAAAAGATGGTGTGGGCCAGGAAGATAGCTCAGCAGCATAAGCACCTTCCTGACAAACACAAGGTCATGAGTTCAATCTCTGGTTTAAACAACAACCAAAAAGATGGTGAGTTTGAGTCCAATATGGAAAATCTAACAACACTTTACCTCTTTCAAAATAAAAAAATAAAAAGAGCTGGTATGTAGCTCAGTGATAGAGTGCTCCTAGGTTCCATTTCCAATACTACAAAAAATCAAAACAGAAAAACTCAGTGTCCTTCAGAATCAGTCATGCCTCAAAGGGACATAGAGGCCAAAAGACTATACTTTCCCAACCTCTTATCTCTGCTATAACTCACAGCTACGATAGCTTATCATCCCTTGCATTTCATCTTCAAAATCACTTACTAAGGCATATTCAGCTTTTGTCTATAACATATGAAACAACAGTAGGGCTTTCATGATTATTAAAGAAATAAGGACCAAAAGAGGATCCTGCATGTGTGGTACATTTTCGGTGGGTGGTCAGCAGAGAATCAGATGTGCTTGTGTGACTGAGAGGGGGGCGGTCTTCCATCCCTGTTTTCCTTTACCATGAAAATTTGGGACATAAATGAAAGAAATATTTTGTTTTCATTAAAAAATGGCCTGTGCTTTCTGTTTATGGATAAAATAAAACCTTTCCAAAACAGCACACACAGTCCTCATTTATGGCTATCACTGGGAAGGTGTCCAGGCTGGGAAAAAAAATTTTTTTGAGACTTTAAAAATCTTATCTATCAATAAAAATGGTGATATTTTTCAGGCCAGAAAACTTCATCATGCCTGATGATGGATATGTTTTGAATTACAACCATTACAACCTGGGCACAAAATTAGATTTCCCATGAATCACTGAGATGCCCCATCCCTGTCTTGAGACAATGCTGGTGCTGGTAGTGATAGCCACCTCTTGAAACCCTGAGGCCACTTTGTGTGTTTTGCAGTTAGAAAGGTGATTTCTGAGGCTTGGCAGCTGTTGGTGTTAAAGCTATTGTGCTGGAAACAAAAGCCATTCTGCCCCGTCCCCAGCCGCTTTTGTGTTCTTGACACTGGAGCTGTTTCATAAATGCGGTATAATTCTTTAGCAGGGAATTTCATTACTGTCTATGTTTCAGTGTCAGCTTCTACTTCCATCAGCAGAGCAGACATCTGAGCTACCTGATGCAGCACGAAGTTGGACTTCTGACCCCTGTCAAAATGCTTGGGTCTAAGATCTGTTCATTTGGCTGTGGTCAGAGGCCACCCTACGTATATGTGTACTTCCTGCCTTCCTTATCCCACACATCACACTTGAGGCTGGCTAGAATGAGGCTCCTGTCAACTGCTGCTTTGGGAGCTAATCAGAGGACTGCTATGCAGCAGATTTCTTGCACAATTCTTCATTGACCTGACCTGGGAAATTCTCATGCAGCCAATCAGAACTGACATTTCTTTAAAGAATATGTACCTTTTCACATATTCTTTATATATTATTATTTCAACTTAGCATGCCACTGTAGGAAGTTTTCAGTTGCCTACAAAAGAAAACACAGGCCTACACAATCAAGGTGGTACAGTAGGCTTTGCCATCCTTCCTGCCTTTCCCTCCTGCTGGGGCTGTGCCCACATAGATATTCAGCTTAGACATTGTATTTGTGCTGGCACTGATTATTTTTCAGCTACTCTTCTTACACTCCTACTGCATCACAAGGAGAACATGACCCCACTCCCTCTTATCAGAAAAGAGAAATGTGAGCAGATCCAGAATTTGCAAGCTGCCAGGTCCAACAGTAGGAATCCAGCCTCAATCATCCAACTGTTCCCTGACTCAGAGCTATTGACTAAGTGACAGTTGACACATAGGTGACAATTGCTTAGGCGAGTGCTTTTTGGAGCAGTTTGTTAGGCAGCACTGATGGCAATGTCTGACTGCTGCACGTTGCTTATAACTGAAGATTCCAAAGGTAGCAGGGACTGCAGGTTGGGTTTGAAAGGAATCTCTGTTCTGTTTCTCAGCCAGAATCTCTTCTGGCTTCAACCCAGGATAATTTTCCTCTTAGTAGCATTGGGACTGTAACCATTTCAGCCTCTACAGTGACACCACATGTTATCTGGAAAGCAAAAAATCTTCTGTCCTCCAACTATCATACAAATGTCTTGGGCTTTACTGTGATTAAACCAACCTAACTCACATGTTCCTCTTGGCCAGAGATTGAGCAAGTATGGTGGGATTATACAGCTTGACTTATAGCAACCCAAGTCCTCTCTTAAAGATGAGAATAGACCTAATCTCTTCTAAAGTCCATGGTGTGCTGAATTAGTGATGGCAGGGGGGAATGAAACAGATACTGAGAGACATCTGCAATGTTAATTATGGGTGGAGTCTAAAGTCTCCCAAATATGTTTTAAATTCCTATTAATATATTATTTGGATCAAGACATTTTTCTACCTCCTTGTTGCTAGGCTATCTACAGCTAGAAAGAGGGATTTATCCTCTTGATCTAAGGTATTATGTGGTAAATGGTAAAATATAAAGCCACACTCATGCCGCTATAGGCATAGAAGGTAACTGGGAATGCAGCTTAAAATGGAACTTTACCATGAGCCTAATGCTGTTCCAATTCCTAGAATCTAAGGATTTTAAGAAAAAAGAGAAGTATATTTGGTCTACTAGAATGTAAAGACCTTTGATCTTGATAGAGGATGGTAATGCTGATGTAATGGCAATGAAATGGAGTAGAGCGAAGATAAGGGCCTTTCCACTGATTTCGGGCCACCATTGCTTCTAGTAAGAAGTCAGCTGTAGTTCTTATTATCATCCAGACACACAGAAAGCACCCAGTGAAAATGTGTGTTTAATTAATGACTTGAAAAATAGAACTGAGGTCTTTTGTCATGTAATCTAACATTCAAGAATGCTTTTCCTTCTCTTTATAAAATCCTGTTTTGTACATGAAAGGCTCCCATAGCAGGCTCTTCAGGGAAGTTAATCGTCCAAATGAATAACCCAGGTAATTTGTGTAAATATAGATATTAAAGAAATCAGCTACTTACTGTGCTTCTGAGTCCTCCCCAACCCTGAAGTTTCTGAAAGATTGAACATCCTTTCATTCCACACATCTATGATATGGAACAAATATTTGTTTTTCAACAAATATTTTTCAGCATATGCTCTCCACAAGGTACTGTGTTAAGTAGTGTAAAGAAAACGAAGAGATAATACTCATCTTCAAATATCCAACTAATTTTCACCCAGACATTTTGGGAAACTTTGGACATAAGAGACTTGGGCCCTTTCATGGGGCTGCAATTCTCAGGGAATACATACCTTGACCATGATCTTGTAGGATTATTTCTCTTGTCAATTCTATCATTAAAGATATTGCATTTATATGAAATATCTCTCAGCAATAAGGCACACACATGTGATTCCAGCTACTTAGGAGTCAGGAGGATCACAAGTGCCATGCTAGCTAAAACAACTTATAAAGATCTTGTCTCAAAATTAAAAGGCTGGGAATATAGCACAGTGGTAGAGCTCTTAGCCTAGTATGGACTGTGTCCTGGGTTCAATTCCAAGGACTAAGATAAAAACAATATCCAGATCAAGCGTTTCTTTAAAATACATTCCCAGGGACCAGCAAGATAGCTTAGTGTACTAAAAACTTGCTTAGGCAAGTTTAGGCAAGTGCAGGGATTGCGGTCTGATCCCTGGAACCACATGCCATGCCAGCCCCCCCCCACCGCCAGGGTGGGCTGAGCCAGCCAGAGTCCAGGTGTGGTGGCACACACCTTAATCCCAGCACTGGGGAGGCTGAAAGCAGGAGGATCACTACAAGTCCAAGCTGCATAATGAGGCCCTGCAACAACCAAATACATTTAAAAAAAATTAGAGACTGGGTATGGTGGCACGCACCTGTAATCTCAGCTCCTGGGAGACTATAAACAGGTGGATCACTGTGAGTCTGATCTAGTAGTAAGACCCTGAAATCCTATAGACCCTTCCCTAAAAATACAAAAAAAGTTAAAATACATTCCCACATACTTCATCATAGCAGTTGCATGGGAATTACTAAAGTCTGATTTTCCAGGAACGTAATGATTAAATAATTCCACACGGTTACTAATCTGAGGATGCTGACTCAGCCACATTTCTTTCAAGCCCTTCTTTCTGTCTGTATGTTTTTTTTCCAGTTGGCTTATGCCTTGAACCATACAAACAGAAAGCTCACAATGGAACCTAAAATCACTGTCAATGCCAGGATTATTGTGGTTGGTGCCTCCAGTGTTGGAATTTCCTTCCTAGAGACCTTGGTGTTTTGGTGAGTTGTTCTATTTTATTTACCTATTCATTCATTTTTATTTTATCTCATTAATTAATTTAGTTGTTTTGCTGTGCTGAGAATTGAATCCAGGGTCTTGCACATGATAGGTAAATACTTCATCATTCAACTACATCCCTAGCCAGTCATTTATATCTTTGTCTCCTTTACTTTTCTCTCATTGCTGGGACAAAATACCTGACACCCAAAATTAAGGAAGGAAAGGTTTAGTTAGTGCACAGTTAGTGGAGGTTTCAGTCCATACTCAGCTGGCTCTAAGGCAGAGGAGCACATGGTAGAGGGCAGCCATTCATGGTAGCAGAAAGCAGCAAAGAGCAAAGGGAGGGGCAGGGGCTGCAGCAGCTAGCCAGCCTCCCTCCCTTCCTTATATTGTATGCAGATCACCAACCCCAGGGCATGTGTAGCACTCACACCCATAATCCTCACATTGGTTCATAAATTAATCACAAACTCTAGAAGCTGCCCCAGTGACTACATGAGACTTTGAGGGGACAACTGGACACAATCTATAGCAATTTTTATTTTTTTATTTTTGACAGATCCAGGTATCGAACTGAGGCCCTTACGCTTGCCAGGGAGGTGCTTATTGCACTGAGCCATCTCCCTGGCCCCTCCATAGCAATTTTTAAATAATATAAACTCTCTTTCTAAACCTGAAGAGAGCCTCTTCAGAAAACAGACTGTTTGCCACCCCATACCTTTGCCTATATGGATTAATGAATCCATGGAATATTCTAGGTGGAAAGTAGGAACAAACTAGCTCTCCTGGCTAAATCTTTCTTTCACCTGCTTTTGTGAATAAAGCCTTGTTGGAATGCAGCCTCTTTTTAAAAAATGTTTTCATGCTATTGTGGCAGAATCAATCAGCTATGACAGAGACCAAATGGCCTATGAAGCCTGAGTTAGGTGCTAGCCTTCCCTTTCCAGACAGAGTTTGTTGGTAAGAGTGTTTCCCTTGATGGCCAATTGTAGGATTCACCTAGAGCACTTGTTGAAAATGTAGATTCCCTGAACCCACATCAGACAAGCAGAGTCAGGAACTCGGGGCAGAGGGGACTGGCATCAGGCAGGTTTGGGAACTGGTTTTGACTTTATGGACCTCTTCTCTCACCCTGGACTCTGGGTCCCAGCAATCAGTGTGAAATCCTTCATGGAAGACTGAGGCCTGTGCCTCTCTGACGCTGTTCTCTCATGGTCCCCTTGGTCCTAACCAGGTTTCCTTGCAGAGCCTCTGTTCTTAGTTTCAGATTCCCAAGTATTTCCACTCCCAGTCTCTTTCTCTCCATCTGCTCACCAAACTCCAGCATCCCTTTATCAGGCTGAGCCCCAGCTTAGAGGACCCTGGATCTGGGATTATGCCCTGGCAGCACCAGCACCTGATAAAGTACCCTCTGTGAATTATTTAACTTCTCCAGACCTGTTTTCCTTGTTTATTCTTTTTTTCAAAATATGTTTTTATTTTAGTTGACAGACAGTAGTTGTATATGTTTATGGGGTAATAATGGTATTTCAGTACTTGTATAACAGGAAATGATCATACCTAGGTAACTAGCATATCTATCATATCTTACCAAACATTTATCATTCATTTGGGTTGGATACATTCAAAATTATGTCTACTAGCTACTTTGAAATATTCAATGACTTAGTGTCACCATAGCTACTCACCTGTGCCAGAGGACAGCAGGAGTTATTCCTCCTCTGCCTTTCCCATTTACTCAATAACCACCCCTCACTTAGACCTTAAGTGTCAGATGTTTTCAAAGACCCTAACTTTTGGACACCAGAGCAACTTGAATGGAAAGAGCTTTGATTTTTCCACCTCATTCCCTCGGGATCACGGGGGAAACTTTAGCTACCACTAAAAACCACAGGTGCCAGAAATAGGTGGGAGGTGGGAAAATACAGCCCAGCACAGCTCCTCCAGATGCCGGAAGTCACCAGCACAAGGACAGTACGATTGGCCATGGAAGATTAACTAAGTGGGAGGACAGAGAAGACAACCTCCGAAAATTGTGCATATCTGCTTGACACAGGGACAAGCTAACCCTAAATGGAGACTTTGTTCAGTTGACATCACATTAGCCAGAAAAAGGTTAATAATAACTGATTTTTTTTTCTCAGAGTTTTAAGCCAATTCCTTCAATTTTCTTGAACACTCCCTCCATTAACTAGATATGAGCTGTGTGTCACTCCTGAAGTCAGAAAACTCCAAATCCTTAAATATAGTGGTCGGATGGCAGTGGTATTTCACTGTAGGAGTGACTCATGGATGCTGCATGAGATGTTCTCTGTCCTATGTGTGCCACCCTGTCGCTGAGTACTTGCTCGCTCTGATGAGTCCCTTCACCGAAGGCTCCTCAGCAGCTTGTCTGGCGCAGCCACTTCTGAATGATGAATGAACAGGGTGGAGCTGAAAAATTGTGATCGCCAGGAGGTGCTTGTAAATGCATCTTAAATCTTCATTTGCCTGTATACTTAGTAATAACATTTTGTTTAAAATGATTGCGTTAAGATATATACATGTAATTTTCTTTTTGTGGAATTGACTTAGATTTAATAAAGACAAATATAAATTTTGATGTAAGTACTAGGTTGATTAAATTGTCCAATCAGGCAGACCTTTTTAAAGCATTGTAAAGTGCTCATAATTCTCTATCATCATTACAGAGATTATGTACACTAAAAATAGCCCGGCATCAGTTTACAGATCTGTAATCCTTAAGAGCGGAAATTGTTTTCTCATTATTTTCTCTAATTATTTTAAATCAGCAATCACCATAGTAACCTCCTGCATATTTTGTCTTAGTGATTTAGCTGCCACTTGAGCTGGATTTTATACATCATTTGAACTGTAATGAAATTGAAGAAATACAGTTTTCACCAAACACTGCCTACCAATGAGGACTAACTCCCCATTTTGGAAGCATGATTTAGAAAAGTCTCCCTCTCATACTCTTGAGCTGCATTCTCAGACTCAGCAGCTGTACTGTGGTTCCTAGAAAATCTGTTTCAGGCCGGGCGCAAGAACCTTTTTCCAGAAAATGTGCCGATCCTGTTACCTGGTAACATAACAGACACACACTTTGTTCTTATATTATCTCCATGCAAGACATTACAAAGTGCACTTGGTTTTTTCTTCAAAGGACGCTGGAAGCAGTCCTTGTACACATCCTGTGCCCTGTGCCCTCATTCTGTCCATCCTTTCCCAAGTGCCAGATGCTTTTGGGAGAGCTGAACTGAGGCTCGAAGGCAGTGCCTGAGAGATGCCAGGATGGAAACTCCATGCCCAGTGGGAATGTGGAGGGCGGGCCTGGCGTTCTGTTTTAGTGTCACATCTCACCGTTCTTTCTGGTCCTCAGCTCCCCACCCCCATGCACAGGGACCTCAACAGGGACACGCTTTTTTGTCTCTGATTGTCAGGCCGGTGAGTCAGCCCTACATCCTGTTCTCACCAGGACATGGCTTACCCAGCCTCCAGGGCCAGGTGACAGATCTGGCAGGTGATTCCCTAAGGACACACACCAGGATCCCTGTCTTCTATTTGCTTCCTGAGTAGTGGAGCCCAGATTTTTCTGCATCTGCCAGGGGGAAGGGGCGGTCTGGGACTGGTGACACATGGAGAGGGTGCAGGATCTATAGGATGAAGCAAGGCTGCCCTGGTGTGTCCCCTCTCCAGTCTCACGTGTCTGTCTTGTGAGGGTGCTGTGGGAAGCAACTTATGAGGTAAAGAAGGGCCAGTGTGTATGTGAGCTGCCCAGGCCTGGCCTTCTCTGCCGTCTCCTGCCCACCAGGCATGGGTTCCCCTCTGAGGACTAGGAGCTGGCCAGGGGAGGGCAGTGCCATGCTCGGGAGCAGAGAACTCCAATGCCTGTCTGTGGTATAGGCAGTAGTGCCTGGGCAGGGAAGACAGGATTCGAGACATTTTCCTGGAATCTGCGGGTGCCCTGCACCTGCCCAAAATTTTCAGGCAATGGACCTCAATTACTGGAAAACCACAATCTTATGGTTGGTGGATTCTGTCCATTCGGCTTCTGTGGTGTTTTGAACCAGAAAGTTCTTGGCTCAGGCAATTGGTGTCGTGTATACAGAGGCAGTCAATGCATACAGTGAATGTTTCGATTTAAAAAAGCTTATTATGGTAAAAGACACTTTGCCATGAATCCCCTTCACGACACTTCTCCTTGCTTAGAACACCCCCATCCCATCGTTCATGCCACTCTCAGCAGGAGCTCTGGAGTTCTTGCTCCTGAGTGTTTTAATAAAGCCCACTAGATAGCTGGGCTGGCCAGATATCTCAGCAAACTAAAGCACCTGCTTAGGAAGGCAAAGGACCAGGGTTCAATCCCCGGTGTGCCATGCCAGCCCCGCCCCCAGGGCACACTGAGACAGCAACTGAGACTGGGTGTGATGGCACGCACCTGTAATCCCAGCACTTGAGAGGCTGAAAACAGGAGAATCACTGTGAGTCCAATGTGTATAGTGAGACCCTGTAGACCCTGTACTAAATAAAAAATATATAAGATGAATGCTGCTGCTGAGTGCCATCCAGCCAAAAGGCAGGCTCATAAAAACATGACCCGTGCTCATATCCTCCTTAGGCTCTGAATCTGGCACCATGAGATTTTCCCAAAGTCAAAATGACCATGCAGGAAATGTTTCAAATCAATTCAGGACATAGAAGCAGAGATGACAGTGCAACTGAAGACACTCAGGAAAGAGGGCTCCGGAGCAGCTGCAGGAAGTGGCAAGGACAATGGGATAAGTGTGTTGGAAGTAAGGTGGGATAATTTGATGGACATTAATGGCAATTTTTTTACTGTAATAAATTTTAAAAACTTAAACATTCACTATATTTTTGGACCAAACCTCCTACCTTATTCCTCTCAGAAGTTTTTTTTTTTTCTTCTTCTTCTTCTTCTTCTTCTAATTTTATGTATTTGGTGTAAGGTCTCACTATGCAGGTCAGACTCATAGTG